AAAAAAGTTGATCCAGCGAACACGTACTGTAAATGTCCACCATTTCAAAACCAATTAGTTTTCATTAAATTCTATTCAGAAATATTGGGTTAAATAAAGTAATCTTTAAATATAAGCTTGCCACCCCTTGCAAACTTAAATGGTGTGAAACTTGTAGTGGCTCTATTTAGTCACTTCTTAGTGCTTATCATTGCTAGAGATGATCTAAGGTACAAGGTTAGTGTTTATTAAGTTTGACTTTCATACATGTACAACAATTAGCCATGCAGGCAAAAAGCACAATATATCAACTCTGTTTTTTCCTTGTTTTAATTGTGTGGTAAATGTATGCTAATATATCAATTTGCATTCTGTTCTTAAATATCTATTGTAATATGTTATAATAACGTTACTATGGATAGGAATGTGAAGTGAATTACACTGTCACTGGACCACTGTTACAGTATTAGTCAAAAATGTCATAGCTTCACCTTGATAGGCTTCTGTCTTAAAATCACATACAACTACTTAACAGATATGTGTTCCAGGCACTGGGTAGTCAATTTCCAATTTCGTGAGAGTAGTTTGTATTATATCGTCAATATTGACATTCAAGATCACTGTGACAGATGCAATGTATCTTATGACCTGTTTAGATAATTGTGACAGTCAACTCTATTATATGCCCCTTTTAAGTTGGTATTAATTATTCTAGTTTATGTTCCAGGAACGCTCTCTATCATTCATCTATTATTCACTCTTATGTTTTCCAAAAATGTTGAAAATTACAAAAGCAAAAGATAATATTAGAGTTGTGTGCAATCTGTTATATCTAGATCTTAATAAAACTAGAAATGCTGATTATTGCAACCTTATCTAATCAAGAAATGTGAATTCTAAATAAGGAATGGCTGAGTCATTTCCGAGATGGGTGCATGAATATAGGTTATTGCATTGTTACCTTATTGTTAATTCCCAATGTGAAGTGAGTGTGTTATTTTGTTGCATTATTCAAAACAAATTACCATAATGCAAGAAAGTTCAACTCTGTTTGTGTAATGTGAATTCATAATCTTTGTATACTGTCTTTGTGTATACTTTGTGGTATCCTTGTAATAACTTTGTATGTACTATAATTATTTGCTTTAACTATACCGTATTTATCTGGGTAAGCGCCCAGGGTCCTGAACGAACATGGAAAATAACCAAAAATAGGGGTGGGCATTTGCCCGAACATCTCCTGCATAAAAAACGAAAATCCGCAAATATTGTCAACACGCAGATAGAACTGTGACAGGGAATAGAATGTCAAATGAACAATATGCACCATTATAAGTTAACAATAAATAATTTATTGCTTAGAATGTGACAAATAAACCAGAAATAATAAAAAGGATTTCTCCGCTGACAAACACGCTCAATACGCGTGAACTCAAAATGAATTAAAATGTCAGGGGTTAAACTGCGTAAAATTATTTCCGGTTTTGACAAATACCGGATCAACAGCCATACAAGATCAATAATTTACGCAGTAAAATGACGAAAGTTCATAGTTGTTTGAAAAAAAACCCATCTCAGATCTCTTTTTGTACGTTCATTGCTATCTTCAAAAAAGTCCAAGTCGGCGTCATTGTCGCGATGGAACAACATCCCTACAGCTTCGTCTTGAAGTTCGTCGATGTCGTCCCACACAATTTGGACATTTAATCCACGGATTACGCTGTCTGACAGCTTGGCACT